CCACATATTATTGACTAATTCCTGGTCTCATATCAGATTCACTGAAGAAGGAGTGTGTGTCCTTCACAGTGCATTGACTGCTTGCTTATTGACATTAAGGTTAATGTTCAGAGGTTGTATCTCAGTCGAAAATACTGATTTGATTACAAAAAGTGCTGAAACAGCAGGGTCAGATAAGTAAGATCAATGTTTGACAGATTGTATAGTGGAAAGACAGGCGATTTCTCTTATGTATATATATATATAATATTTTACAAAATCTATGCACAGTAAATTCAAATACTATAAAGAAAGAATGGGGAAAAGAATTGGGGTTTGAAATAATGAAGGGCATTTGGAAATGTTCCATCAATGCCAGATACTGTTTGATACAGTAACAACAATGATACAACATTTTACATCAAGTCCACAGCTATGTCACATACTCAAAAATACAGGACTTCTGTTTCAGAATACTTTTTCCCCAGGGTGTTCGAAACTACAATAGAATTAGAGCCACTCTTGATTATACTGTGTGTCGCTGAGAACTGTAAAATTATTCCCCAACACTGGAAGACTAAGGACGTACACACTTTCAAACACTGGATAACAACGCTGACTGATACCCTCTACTTGGAAAAAAATAGGACATGTCCTCAATGACAGACTAGAGGTTTTGAACGGACTTGGACACCTGCGATCTCTTTCTTAGAAGGGATGAATGGATAAGATAAGAGAAATGGATTATGTTTATTTAACAAATCGTGGTCCAGATGTTTTAAGGTGAGGTAAACAAACAGACTTTGCAACCAAAAGTCCATTGGATACATCTCCCTGAGACTTGAAGTTAAGTAGCCTAGTAGTGATATGATGGAGGATTCTCCACAACCTGGCAACCAAAACCATTATTATAATCAATCCTTTACTGTTGAACACTGCAATACAATATGGTCTCACTGCCACTGGCTTTGTCCCAGCATGAAAAACTTTGTTGATTCTCACATGACTACTAGAAATGTTTGAATGACGTATTTTTTCATTTAAGCTAATAATAATAATAAGAAGAAGTCCTTTATTAGTCCTGCAATGCGGAAATGTGCAATATTATTGCACAGACAGACGAATTTGGCACAGTGAATGAGTTGTGCATATTCATGTGCATGAGTTCTTCACTGGCCTGGTCATGCTGATAACACCATTCTGACTGTGGTAAGTAAACACCCAAACACACACCGACAGATAACACATGCCAACACACACTGGTTAGACGAAAGCCATGATCCTGACAGGTCGCAGTTTGTGTCTTCCTTCTCCAGGCACTGTTCAGGAACTGTTTTCTGTGGCTCGAGATGCCAGCATCGTTCCTGATATCTCCTTGGACCCGGTCCTCACCACCTTCCTGTCACTGGACTCCCCTGCAGCACTGCTGCATCAACATGTCTTCCTACAGCGGAGCATGAGCAGGGAGCAGCAGGCTCAATTCAGCATGAGCCTGACCAGAGAGCTGGGAGGCAGCAGCGGGGTCACCTATGGAGGAGTTGGGGTTGTTGCTCTAGCTCTGTCTCTGCTTTTTGACCAGATTGCTCAACAAGTTGGTGAAACCTTTTCTGTTTTGTCTAGCTTGTATGTCATTATTGAATACCGGTCTCGGAGCATGCAGTTCAAGAAATCAAGTTTCTGCTGTCTTTAGTAATCCCATGATTTTTCATCTATCACCACTTTCTTTTCTGATATCTCTCCAGGTCCGAACACAAGGATCAACCGAGGGAGACCTGTCAACTCAGAGACCCCAAAAGGATATTTTTGGCATCAGCAGCTCTTCAAGAATTGGCAGGATTATCTATAGCTACCTGCGCCTGATCCCTGGCCTTGCTAACAATGAGGAGAAGATGGCTGAGACTACAGAGCTCTATGACAGCTGGCTGAAACTTGAGCTAATCGACCATTATGAGAGGATGACCACTAAAAAGAGGATGAGTTCAGTGTCCATGCAGCAGTGGCTGACAGGAGCTGCATTTCATCTGCACATGAGAATACACCAGGTCAGGAGACTGAGAAAGACTCAAGCTAAAATGCATACTCTCATTATCTGCTTTGTACATGTACCAGGGATAGTGTCCTTTTACACAATGCCTTTATCAAAACTCAGTGCTTACAGTACCCACAATGCCATTCAAACACTATCAGGTGTGTGGAGCCTTAAGTTGCTAGTCTCAAGCAGAAATAAGGTGCATGCTACAAAGGTCTGGAAAGTTATGTCTCCACTCCGCCAGATTTATTTCATTATTAAACTTGAAGTCTCAAGATTCAACCCAAGTTGACTCAAGTGACATCACTTAAGGGAATTTGCACAACTTTTTTTTCACATGTGCAGTGGTGCTCTGCAAAACCATGCAAACTTAGGTGAGAGAGCTTTACTGTCGAATGCACAACTTCTCTGTTTCAGTTCACTGCCACTGCTTTGGCTGCACCAGCTATTTTCAACAAAAAAGCAACGGGCTGGTGGACATTCTAGCAGCTAGCAGCTAAAGAGCCACAAATTCCCCTCAGAAATGGGTGGAGACCAAAAACGGATCAGAAAGAAAGTGCATATTGGACCTGGATTCATTGGGAGGTCACAATCCCAACTCTAAATGAATGGCATTGTTTGCCCTGTAACTTTCAGACATTTAGATAAGCTGTTTGCTAATTACTTTGGCATATAAAACTAAAAGTGTATGTAATGTCTGTGTTTACATGCTGTTTATATCAGCCCTGTACTCACCTTTATTCTATTCCAACAGGTGCGACTGCGCTCTGTGCCATTAGGATCAGCAGAGTCACTGCGTCTGTCTTATAAGTCGGGGATAGGTCGCCTGGTTCAGGGCTACACAGCCTATCTACGCAGAAACATCCAGGAAACAGCTCCTGGTTCACAAAAACCCTCAACTGGGACAACCGGTCGACCAAGACAAACCAAGACATCGAACATAACCAATATGGCCTGCTCTGGTAATCACCTTTTTAATGGTAGCCAGGTTAGTACAAGTATCTCCACTGGATTCAATGAGACGACTGCACCTAATTCATCTGCTGACAGTAGCAGAAGCTGTGAAACACATGGATCCAGAGAAGAGTTTGGAGTCAGTGTGTCAAAAGGAAGCAATGAAACTCCTGTAAGTATGGGAGACAATAAGACACTCACCAATATGACTGAATATAACAGGGATGAGGAAGCAGGCATGCTGGGCCTGTTAGTCATTGAACCAGGAAGGAATGTGAGTCACAATGTCCAGCATCACCCCTGTGAGTCTCCAGCCATACAACAAGCTTTGGTGACTCGTGTTATAAATGCTCAGGACCTGGAGCGAAATGGAAATGTTTTCCTGTTCCCTGAGAACATTCTCCGCAACTTGTGCAGGCAGAGGAATGACCTTGAGTTAAAGACAAGTTAGACTGGTCTGAATAGTGTGGAGTTACAGTCTCTCAAATTAAACATTGTGCTCTTATCTTTAGGACACTATCTCTCACCTTTTTTATTTTTATTCTTAGTCTGCATTAAAGTGGTTGTCAGTCCCCTTTAACTTAGCAGAGATGTGACATATCCTAATACTAAAAATTGTAATACTAATAAATTACATTAATGACAGATCTTAAATGTTCTGCATTTACATTACCAGAGATTTGTATGTTGTTGTCACCATTTCTTACTTCACTGCTATAATTCATTGTAATTCTTTCCAGACACTGTAAAATATAATAAACTATATTAACTTAAAAAACATGCCCAGGCTGCCTTGAAAATGAGATTTTACCAAATTAGTCTTGTTGTAATGCAAAACTCATGATGAAACAGTACAGACGTTGTGATTGACATTCACAGAACTTGAAAAGTTAGCAGAAGGCAGGAGGGGCTCCGTGTCAGGGGCACTTTAAGGTGCAGTGCGTTTATGATGAAAATGGAAAGAAGAAAGGGGGAACCAGACTCAAGCAGATGGTTGTCTGCAATAAAAACAGGAAGGGGTAAAGTCTTCAACACCAATCAGGACGCAACACAAACAGGAGAAGAAACAGGCAAATAGGCATAGACGTTTTACTACCCCACATTTTACATTTTCTCACTCATGTAGCGTCCAAACCAATATAAAAAAATTTGCAAAATGAAAAAACATAACTAGAGCATGAGTAATTCAAACCATTTCTGTCAACTGCTCAGACGCTTTCTTAAAAAACTGTCAAAGAACAAGCACATAAGATAGATTTGATAATCAGAACTTCAGAGAGCAGTTTGCTCAGACGCAAATTCATCACGAGCAAGTTCAAGTAACGTCATTAAGAGAGCCCACCAGATATACTAATAAATTAAATTGCTGATATCAATATTAGTAGTAATAGTAATGTTAGTGTACATGTATTTGATTTCCAGTGTGACTCCACACTAGTTGGGGGCGCTAAAGCACCAACATAACATGACGAAGAAGAACCCGCCCCCCTGACTCTACTGACGACGTGCTGCTGCTTCGTGTGTTTGTCTCCACTTCCGTACACTGGTATGAGCAGGACGAGCGGACGCCACTGTCAGCCAGTAACCACTGTTCACTTGAACCAAGCGTGAGTATCTATTCATGTATTTACTTATTAAAACCACCGTTTAAACCCGGAAGCGTCGAGGAGCTGAGCTGTCTTCCAGCTTCGCTCCGTCGCCAGTTGCGTCGCGCCAAAACAAAATAACTGAAGTGTGGGGGTCGTTGGTTTTAACCATCGTGGGGAAAATGGCGAAGATAAAGTTCCTTCATTAACCTGTTAATGAAGTCCTCAATTGGCTGACACAATATGCGTTTGTAAAAGTAGCTATATTTGCTATCATGCTACAAATGCTAACGTAAAGGAGTCACAGCCAGTAACAGAGGGATGTAGGTTCAACACAACTGCCCGGAACAGTAGTGACAGTTCAGCGAAATAAGCATCAACGGCTGAATACTGTTGAGGTCGACGTGCTGCTCAGTCAGTGTTTCACTTGGTATCATGTGAAAGTATCAGGATGCGTCTCGACTACATGACGTGTTATGTTATCCTTCACCCCACCCTCTTCTTCTGTAAGCATGAGTAATGTTTGTGATGAAGCGAAACTAGTCCAAGAACCGGTCCCAGTCAAAGTACTGAACGAGAACCGGTCCCAGTCAAAGTACTGAACGAGAACTGGTCCCAGTCAAGTTACTGAACGAGAACTGGTCCCAGTCAAAGTACTGTACGTCATATTAAAAGTGAAGCAGTGGGGAACACAGTCAGGGTGTGTTATGAGTAGTTATGAGTAGGCCTCGACAAAAATACTACCAGTAACTACATATAACAAAGGTTCGATATATGACACATAATAAGTCTACCTCAGATTTACAAAACGTCATTCCGTGTTTATAAGGACGATTTAAAACCTTAACCTTCACTTGGTTGCAAAAAATGTTTTTGGAAATAACGATTTAACTTATTTGAATTTGTTGTGATAAATTTCAATATCAGCTGACTTTTTTATTTTGGTATCATTTTAAGCTATGTCACCCAGTTCTAGTTATTGAGGGAGCGACAACACCGACCACCCACCTCCCAAATATTGAGGAAGAAGTATTATACATCACTTAACAAACAAGACACATGAGATACTATTATCATTAAACCTTTATTCAGCCAGACGAGTTCCATTGAGATTACAAGATCAGTGTTTGGAGGGAGCCCTGGCCAAGAGAGCAACAATATGAAGTAACGTAAGATAACTTAAAGGATGGATGGAAGAGAGTTTACCATATCACATTCAGCTTCTTTATAAAACTGTACATGCTGAGGTAGACATTGAGTATGTTTCTTTTAGCTGTACGTACGTCTTTTAGTCAAACCACTGCACCATAATGTGCTACATGATGCACTTTGTCCATGGTCTGATGAGCGCAGTTCCTGTGGTATACAACAGTGTGGTTGAGAGTGGAGATGGACTTGGTTGCCTTTGTGCTGTGTTCAAATAGAAATCATGGCTGTGTGTAATAAAATCACACACAGCCAGGTTAGTTTCAATGAGACCATTGTGATGCACAGCAGTGGAAATTGGCTCATGGTCTATTGCTGCTATGAAACATGATAGCTGCATTTCTGCTCTTCAATGCTACAACATCACTCCTTCATAGTAATGCGAACTGCCTTGTAGTCATTTATTGTATTATTAATACGTCAATAACTTTTAATAATTGATTAATTTGCCAATTGTTTTGTTTGTATAAGATTTTTAAAAAGTAAAAATTTGTCCCATTACAGTGATTCTGGACCCAAAATTATGTTTTCATGCATTATGGTTTTACTTTTTGCAGCTGATAAAAAAACCCCCAATACATTTAAATAATAATAAAATTATAAATTTTTCTGACAGAGTTGGAGAACATGTCAGATTCAGAATCCGATTCTGATTTTGTTGAATGGGAAGACTTCAGACAACGGGGGAAAGTGGTGAGTTACTAACTAATAATCAAAATTAGTATGTAGTCAGCTCAGAGTTTTTTGTTTGTCACCCAAAACTGTCTTTTTCTCTTTTGTAGGTTCAAACAAGTGATGAAGTCATGGCCCTCCGTCCATCAGGTAATGAACATTTATGTCCTAAATTACCCTCTTCAAATTAAAATCCAGGGCTTCAATGCCATCCCATTGCAAAGTTACTATGGTATACACTAGAGTATTAAATGACTTAATCAGAAAGTGAATATGAGTGAGTGAACAATAACTTCTATCTCCACATGATCACAGAGGAAATGGTCTATGCACTTGACAGATTACACTCAGGCCACTGTTGGTTTCGTTCCGGTTTTGCACATGTCAAAAAACCTCTATGTTCCAGTCGATAACTTGTATTTTGCTATTATTTATAGAGTTACATAAGTTGATCAATTTCTGTGTTCATGAAAAATCTAGAATGTTTTGATCAGATTCAATATTAATTGTGTAATATTTTATCAGACTTCAGTAATCAGGGTTTACCTCAATTTTAATACAAAAATCATAGATGAATGCCAGGAAATTCTTTCATCTACATCCTTTTACTTATTGATAAATAGAAGTGTGTTAAAGTACTTAGCCCCTTCTCTGGAGTCTGTCTTTGCTGCTGCTCAACGTGTGACATTGCTTTTAGAATAACTTCTATATGAGGCTCTCAGCTGGGTAAAACCAATTTTCTGCATTTGTGTTTTTTTAGAGGGTGATTATGATCGATGGGACCGTATAACTGTCGATATCAAACAAGAAGCTGGACAGCGGATGAAAATTTGTACCCTCTGGCTTCCCATTCTGCTGCAGCGTGAAGAATCCGGCTTCAATGTTTCCTGGGCTATGCATATAGGCTTAATTGATGCTGTGTATGTATGATTGTGACTTTGATCTGGATACATTTTAGTTGCCAATTAATAAAACTAACCATCATCAGTGTTAGGACTATTGAAGAATTTTTAATTGTCTCCTTATAGGGAAAGTGAAGATATAAGTTTGAAACACCTGCACAGGATCGAAATAGTGGAAGCAGTTCTCAGAGCCTTGGAGAAAGGAAGTGTAAGTACAATAGAATTGTTAAAAACACTTTTAAGAGCAAACTATGAAATTGCAGTGTGGTAACTTCTGTGATTGTTGACGCTTTATCCCCAATAGTTAGTTTCAGGCTATAGGGTTTTTTTATTGGTGGAACTGCACAGATAACGTGTGTTGGTGTTTGTAGATTTTCAGAAATTAATAATTTTTGTGCATTTTTTGTTAAAATTGTCACATGTGTTAAAAGCAGCATGGTTTGGAAACCCTAGCAACAGAGACTTTGTTTTTATTTAGAGATTTCCTTTTGTGTTTCCCATTTTGCTTAATACTTGGATGAAAGGTTTCGGTTGTATCTATTAGCAATACTTATAGTTCATCATCCCACCAGTAAGCATGAAACCCAACTTGCTAAACATTATGTTTGAGACAGAGCATAGAATAGGTATAATATTACAGGTACATGTTGTGTGAGATGGTCTAAAACACACACATTATTTTAGAGAAAAGGAGTAGATTGATTGACAGTTGTCATTAGTGTTTAATGATGTTCAAACTTGCTTTTGATCTCAATGACTTGTTCTCTGTTTCAGTTGAAAAGGAACCAAACAAAGCACATTTTCATGATAAGCAACATGTTTAACTTGGTAAGTCTGAAAAAAAAAAGGCATAGTTTATATTGATTATGTAAGGGACTATGACCTAATAAGTGTTAATGCTCTTCAAACAGTGGCAGAGGCATGACTTCTAGCTTGTGTAGTTAATGTTGATCACCTTTCATGCACATAATGCAGCTCGAAGGGCTTCAAACTAAATTGTATGTTTATAAAAACATTTTGAGAAATAAGTAGAAAGGTGTTACACATCAAGAGAAACTAAAACAGAAACTTGAAATAGTTGTTACACATTAAATCTTTATTATTCTGTGTTTGTGGTATGTGTTTACACTTTGTTTCCATATAATTTGGCTGAGTGGAAACATGTATGATGAAAAAAGGACTGACCCAAGTACTGAACCCTGTGGAACACAATGGGGAATATGAAAACTTCTAATTGGGGCATCCAAAGAAATTTCCAATTTTCACAATCTGTAAAATTATTTTTGGCAAAAATGATGAAAATACTTTTGCCAATGCATTCCGAATTTGGCCATCAAAAATATACAGTTGAATAGTTGCCTCAATTATTA